AATTGTCCCGTCAATCAAACAGCGATCCTGTGACAGCTGCAGGAATCTGACCACGCCCTGCACAAGCCCCGCCCCACTGACCATCGCCACGGCAGAGCCCAGGTCTGATACACACACACACGGATGAGAAGCATTAGGCCTGTTCACAGTGGTCACACTCACAGCGTTTGAGGTCTCACCTGTCTCTGAGCCGCCCATTCCCTTCAGAACGGCCAGTCTGCCTGTGCTTTCAATCAGACTCTGGACCTGTAGAGAGGTGAGCGCCGTCTCCACCAAAACCTGCTCCTTAGCCAGGTCTACATGCACCGACTGAACTCCTAAACACACACACACATATGAATGAGAGAACTATGGAAGATTGTTTCAGTCATGGGATAAAAAAAAGAAAATAAAAAAAGGTAATTGCAACTTTTTATATCAAAATTTAGACTTTGTTTCTCAATCTAAATGAGAATGCATTTGACTGCTTTTGTTATTTTGATAAGTAGCCTACATTTAAAGGTAATTGCGACTTTTTAATCTCACAATTCCAACTTTTTTTCAGAATTCCAAGATATAAACTCACAATTCTGAAAAGAGAAGTCAGAATTGTCAGATAAAAAGTCGAAATTACCTTTTTAATTATTTATTTTGTGGTGAGAAAAAAACATAATTGTGAGATGTAAACTAAATATAAACTTTATATAAAAATACAAATATAAATGTATATTTTATATAAAAATATTAAAACAGTAAGAATTGTAGAATATAAACTATGAGGGAAAAAATCTGAGGGAAAAAAGAATTGTGAGATGTGAACTCAGAATTGCGAGGGGAAAAAGTCAGAAATGTGAAATATAAACTTGTAATTAAATTTTGAGAAAAAAGAATTTAGAAATATAAACTTGTAATTTTGAAAAAAAAGTAAGAATTGAGAAATATAAACTTGTAATTTTGAGAAAAAAGTAAGAATTGAGACATAAACTTGTAATTTTGAGAAAAAAGTAAGAATTGAGACAAATTTGTAATTTTTAGAGAAAAAAGTAAGAATGGTCAAATATAAACTTGTAATTTTGAGAAAAAAAGAATGGTCAAATATAAACTTGTAATTTTGAGAAAAAAAGTATGAATTGAGAAATATAAACTTGTAATTTTGAGAAAAAAGTAAGAATTGAGAAATATAAACTTGAAATTTTGAGGAAAAAGTAAGAATGGTAAAATATAAACTTGTAATTTTGAGAAAAAAGTATGAATTGAGACAAACTTGTAATTTTGAGAAAAAAGTAAGAATTGAGACATATAAACTTGTAATTTTGAGAAAAAAGTATGAATTGAGAAATATAAACTTGTAATTTTTAGAAAAAAGTAAGAATTGAGAAACTTGTAATTTTGAGAAAAAAGTAAGAATTGAGAAATATAAACTTGTAATTTTGAGAAAAAAGTTACAATTTAGAAATATAAACTCAGAATTCTGGAAAAAAAGTAAGAATTGTGAAATAGCCTATAAACTTGTAATTTTGAGAAAAAAGTAAGAATTGATAAATATAAACTCAGAATTCTGGGGAAAAAAGTAAGAATTGGGAAATAGCCTATAAACTTGTAATTTTGAGAAAAAAGTAAGAATTGATAAATATAAACTCAGAATTCTGGGGAAAAAAGTAAGAATTGCGAAATAGCCTATAAACTTGTAATTTTGAGAAAAAAGTAAGAATTGAGAAATATAAACTTGTAATTTTGAGAAAAAAGAATTGAGAAATATAAACTTGTGATTTTGAGAAAAAAGTAAGAATTGAGAAATATAAACTTGTAATTTTGAGAAAAAAGTAAAAAATGAGAAATATAAACTCAGAATTCTGGAAAAAAGTAAGAATTGTGAAATAGCCTATAAACTTGTAATTTTGAGAAATTCAGAATTCTGTGGGGAAAAAAACTCAGATTTGCGAGATATAAACTCAGAACTCAGGGCTGTAAACAGAATTCTGATAAAAAGTTGGAATTTTGAGATAAAAAGTCGCAATTACCTTTTAATTAGGGCTGTGCATTTGGGGGGAAATATCGAATTGCGATTTTTTTGACAGATATTGCGATTGCAATTTGATTTGCGATTTTAAATTTGCAAAGTCAAGCTTCAGCTCAATATTGTCAATAATGTGCAGCACAGTATGGGTATCATTACCCTGCTGAAAAAAAACAATAGAAACTATCACAGAAATTCTTATAGTTTCCATTAAACCATTAGAAAATTCCTTTTTGTTTTGGGCATTATTCCAATAGGAGTTACTGTTGTTCTATTGGTTGCCATCTGCCAGATTACATTCCACCAATAGAATCCATCAAATAGACACCATTATAGTTTACATTAAAACCAATACAATTCCCATTATAACCCTGAAATCAATCAAATTTTTTATTGTGTTTTGGGAGGGGTTCTATTGTTTGTTTGTCTTTTTCAGCAGGCAAAATTATAATGGTATAAGTACTTTTACAGAATTAGCTTAATTACTGAATTTCACAGAAAATATGTGTTTATTTTTTATAAATAAAGAACTATTTCTTAAGTCAATTATTAAAGCATTACATATGTTACATAGGCTGATTTATTCATTTTTAAGTATTTGGGATTTTAAGAACAAGTGGAAATGTGCTGAATGTTTCATTTCATCCAAGTGAAATTAGCAAGCAGTTAGACTGAATTTACATTCGTTTTAAACGCGGAGCCAGGCGCGAGTCGACACAGGTTGCGCACGTGCGTCAAGCCTCATCCATACTGCCAGATGCGCTCGTGGAGACTTGCGGAGCCGGGTGCGAGTATAAACGAGCATTACGAGACAGGCTGCGTGAGTGCGGCAAGCATAAACGGCTCGTCCGTGACGTGGGATTCACGCCGCGTGGGGCAGAGAGGAGCGAGTATGAGAAGCATTCACAGACACAGGCTGTGTGCGCTCTTCTGAATTGGGCGTTTTTCTTTAGTTTTAATTTGCCTAACTATCGATCTGACCCAGTAGACGCCATAATCCCACTCTGTCTCTCTCCGGCTTTCGTTTTTTTGTTTTTTTTTATGGTGGGTGTTTACGCAGTTGGCTAGAGCAGTGCTGATTGGGGAGAATCGAGGTGCGCTCACTCTATTGGTTAGTAAGACTGCAACTCAAGGCTGGCAGTCATGCATATGCTCTGGAACAGAGTAATATCGCGTCCACATCGCAGGTTTTGCGATTAGCAAATCGCAACGTCTCAAATCGCGATTGCGATTCGATTTCGATTACTTGCACAGCCCTACTTTTAATGCACTTATCAATATAACAGAAGCAGTCAAATGTGAAAATTATGGGTTTTAATCACAAAAAGAAGTATTCAAAATGTATCATTTAACTTACAATCTGCAAAGGAGTGAAAAAAAATGTTCAAATACTACTTTTAATGTCCAAGAACTTTCCTTAAAATGTGTAAGTGTCTGGTTGTTTTGATGTAGTAAAACACCCACAGGCTCGTCTGGCTTTGCATTTTCTTCTGTCACTGGCCATAATTCAAACTGAATTAGGCATAACACCATGTGAAAACAGGCTGAGAATTGAACAAATAGTTGTAAAGTGGCTCAGATTCAGACAGGAATCGTGTGTTTGTGGCAGTTTTTCTGGAGTTTACAAGACTTCTTCACTGCACAAATGGCTGCCAAAAGCAAAAATGCTACAAAAATGCAGCATTTTTTGTGTGAGAAAGTATGACATGCTCCGGCAATAAGTACTGGATTTCACTGCAGGGCGCTGTAAGAGCAAGGAAAGGGTTTGATGCTGTGCTTGACTCACCCGGGTCTTTCTCCAGGACGCCCTTTACTGCATTAACACAGCCGTCACATGACATCTGCACCGCAAACTCCAGCTGCGCAAACACACGAATGACTTGGACAATTTTAAATGTTGCATGCATCTAATGTTTAAGAGAAAGTCTATAGTTAATATTTATTAGATACGTTTTTAAGCATTTTAATCATCCTTTTGCAGTGCACTTAAATCTGCAGTGTGACAAATTCATTTTTAAAAATGCAAATATTTAATGCATATATGATTATGTGATAATTCATAAATAAATAAATAAATAAAATGTATATAATAATAAATAATTAGCTGCTTCTATTAATGTTTTACCATAGTTTTTGGCCATTGTACCTAAAAATACCATATACTGTATATCACCATATAATAAACTGCATGCAAAAAATAATAATCATGTCATGCCAGCTGCCTAAATGCAGACATTAAAAACTATAGTAATGTCCAGTAATATTCCTGAATCTGTTTGACAGTTTCCATGAGTCGAAATATAAAGTTCAAGACTAAAACAGCACGTAAATGAAGAGGTAAATAACTATGCAATTCACCAATGATAACACGTTATGGAAATTATGCTGGTGATTATGATTTAATCAATAATAGGAACTTAAATATGACTTTTATGAAAGACGTTATTACAGCTGACCTAACAAATAATTTTAACACTTTCATATTTAGTAAACGTAATTAAAGTTTCATATTTTAATCGCTGTTTAGTATTCATATCAGTATTTTCAAAATAATAATTGTTTAGTTCATATATTCACACCTTCGCAGTTCTGTTTGCGTCCATCTTTGCCTCGCACGCTGACGCCGACGAAAACGGAAGTTCCGCGCTCATAAAATATTATAAAATAAAAGTCCTAGTAAAGAAATAGAAAATTACGTTAATAAAATAAGAGTCCCGGATGAACGATTGCAAACGCACTAACGGCAACGGTGAGATCGATTGGTTAATATCACTGGATTTTGTTTAATTTAAACATTAAATCTAATAAAAAATAATATCAACAAATATTTAATTTATAATTGACAGCAACAACTTAAAAAAAAGTCTTGTTGTTAAAATGGTTAGCCTGATAATATAATATAATATAATATAATATAAAAAGTTCAGTTGTATTAATTTATTCTATTCATTTAACATGGTACTTACAGTTTCTGAGAAAAACAAACTCATGGTTAATCTCTTATTTTATTGAAAAACATTTCAAACATTAAATCAAACCTAAATAATTAGATATACAACACAGCATATTCACATTTGCTGATATAATACAATATTCACAGTTATATTAATGTAAAATCTAAGTGGCTGCTGGCTGTTGTTTCTGCTCTTCATTTGCTTCTGCTGCTGCTGCTAAATGTTGTGGGAAACCAAGGTCTTTCTCCAGAGCGTGGGATCTCCAGCGCTCGTCATCCGCCTCATGCGTGAGATAGCGATATCCCATCCGCTGCTCAAACTCACGCAGGTCACACCACATCTGGAAGTTCTGCAGCAGGAGAAACAGATGAGATACGCAGAAATCACACTGTACATCCAGTCAATGTCCTGCAATGACTTAAACCTAATGGCATTTGGGTTTTGGAGAAAGTCACCAGACCTGAAACCATGGATGACCCATGGCTTTGCCAACACTGAACCTGCGTCTCACCACCACCTGCAGCAGGTTATTGATCAGGTTCACCGCTGAGAGAGAGAAACACGTTAACAGAAAGAACCTTAGGTCACCATCTAAAACAATTAAAAGGGTAATTGCAACTTTTTAATCATTCAGACTTTTAAAGGGGTCATATGATGCGATTTAAATTTTTCCTTTCTCTTTAGAGTGTTACAAGCTCTTGGTGCATAAAGAAGATCTGTAAAGTTGCAAAGACTAAAGTCTCAAATCCAAAGAGATATTCTTTATAAAAGTTAAGAGTCAGCCACGCCTACCTAAAACGCCTCGTT